TGCCAGTTCTATTCTTTATTTTTGGTACGAATATAACTATAATTCTCATGAAGTTACTGGCTAAATAAATATGTTCAATACGAGTACAAGCATTAAATAACTGAGCAATTCTGTAAAGTAACGATTCAAGAGCGTACAGAACGTGTTCAACACTGAGCCCATTGTGGCTCGGCGATTTGAGGCGTTTCATAGCGTGTATACAACGAAACAGCTGGTCCGTAGTGTTCTTGTAAAATTGACCATGTCCTCCCTGATGCAACCAGAATGGACTTCAAGTCAGAGAATTCAACGATCAAAAATGCTGGCACTGGTAGCGCAGCAATTCATATTTATTGTAATTTCTTGCCCATTTACAATTCGTTTTCGGTAAATAACATATTCTCCCATCTACATCTGTCTTTCTCTTTCTCATTCTGCAAACTAAGAACGAGATGACGAGATATTCTGATAGGTTAGTTCGATCGACACCCTGATACGTCCTCTTACGCTTTTTGGCGTCATTTTTTTGAAAAACCTCGTTTAAAATACAATCTGCTACAAATATACCTTTGCAAGTCTCACCTGCACTAGTTCGATTTTGACTTACAGAAGTCAAAAGACATCGCAAGATATTTTGTGGATTTTCTTTCCTATCAAATCTCTCGCTCCGTGTGCATGAAATAAAGTTTTAAAAAACCCCAAATTTCGACTATGTATAAACAAAAATAACTTTTATTTATACAATATTTACATTGGAAATTTGTTTACCATTCGGATCACTAACATTCTAAAAAAGATAGTCTTCAAAGAGCAAATGAAACATTACATAAAATATTGAAGCTTTTATTTACAAAATTACCAACATATAATATCACTTTGGGAATTTGCAGGTTTACTTGCATAACGCCATAAATATACATACCTATTTATTACTATTCAATAAAAACAATAATGATTACAATTCCTCAATTGTTTACTTATAATTATAGTATTACAGTAGGTGAAAAATGTTACGACAAAAAGTTGATGTAATGATATTATTGGAAGTACAATAATTTGTAATACCTAAATACTATTAATATCAAAACATTTGCAATGGAAACGCGCCCACCATAGAATATTAGCTTTCATAAATGCCTTTTTTAATAACTATATGGCTACTTCAAATAGATACGTTAAGGTACAGAGTAGCGTCAACACTTTTTCGTACATACGAGTTAAGGTTAAAACTATTGAATAAATAACAATACAGTATAAAGTATCTACGTCTTTCAGTACCCAGGTATCAGAATATGACACGATTAGTCGGAAATCCAAAGGTATTTCAAGTATTTCAAATATTATGCCAAAGAAAAATGAAAGATAGTTGGACCTTTAAAATATATAATAATATAATATTTTCTTTTGTTCTTTTTTTTAAGAGAATATAATAGAGGTGGGCGCGTAACTGGAAGAAAAAAAATATTATTCATATTATTGTAAAGTTACAATGGTTATAATGTAAAGAAGCATACACATTCTGCATTTTTTTATAATTATGCAATTATAACTATGCTTTGCAAAAGTAATACACAATTTTATATTTCCAAACCTATATTTATTTTCAAATAAAAATATAGTGAAATAAAAATATATTGCGCTGATAAAACCAGTTCAATGGGCTTTACTTAAATAAATGCGATTAAAAACGTTATATCATTTTTATTTTGTGCACATAGAACCGTTTTATTAGTGCATCGAAAGTATTGTAAAATATTACTAAAATTTTGAAGTTACGTAAGCAATATTCAAAGAGCCCTTCTGCTTTAGGCACGTGTTTCGTTTTGACGCAAGAACTTTAACCATACCTAATATTTACACACAAACAGATTTTTTTGTTACAGAATCCAATTAAAATTTCGTTGAGAAAACCTTTACATCCTAATGCAGAAGCGCCTTTAAATATTTTTTAAGTATTCTTCACAATTATAAGTTGCATAAAGAAACTGAAATCATTTTATTTGGCCTTCCTTTATTACTACAAAGCGTAATTTACATTTATTGTCACAGGTGTGAGAAGTAATATGACAAAAAAATCATAATTATTAGAAGTATAAAAATGCTTTTATCGTTATACGGTATTTAATGTTTGACTTATATATTGTTTATTTACAAAAAATTTATGTTACAACTTTTCATACATAATAACAATAATGCCTTTTTTGTATACCTACACAAACACGACATAGATATGTTTCAGACTTTGTAAAATAAAATCAATTACGAAAATGGAATAAAATAACAAAAATAAATAAACTTTTTATATTTAAAGCCTTTTATTTAAAAATAACCAAATTATTTTTAAGTCCGGCGAATATTACAAAAATATTATAATTATCATTAGATATAAAAGTAGTAGCGACTCGTAAAATGCTTTATACAGAAACTATCGGCGTTGTGATGCCCCAAAACATCACAGAAATTCCTGTTGGTCTAACATTACTTTCAATATTTGAGAGGATCGTTTTATTAGATTCTTACAATAGAAACACATACCACAGGGTTTTGCTTTGCGGCTTTGCTCATTTTAATGAGGTTTCCTCATGTCAATCAATTTACAATCCCTCGAGAACGGTCCATTTTTCTAAATGGAAGGAACCCTTTGTCCTATTCTGTACCCTTCACAACGTCTTTATAATAGTTCAAGATCGTTGTTAAATAAAAGCGTAACAAACATCCAATTCATCGTAACTATGCTAATATTATTATCTAGAACTAAGATATTCAGTTATAGCAGGTAATATTGGAAGTGAAAATAATATCGACATTAATTTTTCGCGCTTTCCTCAGAGCAATTTTTCAGCGTTCCACACAGCTGTGTACTGACTTACAATATAACGAATGTATTGCAATTCCTGACACGTACTAAATGCAAGCTGTCAGTAACTTATGAATGTTACATGACAGTTAAGTTGAGGAATCTGCGCTGCAAATAAAAAGCTTCGTTATTTTAGGCTATTTATTTTAACTGTAAATTGCGAAAACTATACATAACTTTTAATACAGTAAAATGTTATAATAAATTGTTAATTTTTTGTGTAATGTATATGTTGTAAGAGACACTAAATTAGAACAAGCTGTAGACTATTTATTCGTAATATATTCCACTTTCGTCACTTTAAGAGAAGTCGTCACATTGGATTGATCGATGAATGAAACCTACAACATAATTAAAGCAAACACAGCCTTAATTCCCGAAATAACACCCCTCTCCCATATATAAGCATGTCAGACAAATTCTGTGTACCAACTAATACATAATACTGTGTCATATACTCGTAGTATTACACACTAGCGTTTTAATTTACGAATGCACTGTTGAGTTTTATTGTTCTTTACAAGAAACACAATTGGAATGTTATGGAAGACGAAAACAACAACAATGAATATAAATTTTTTACTTGAAATAATTTGTAGATATATGCACACGTATAAAATCGTTTATTTTAGAAATATATTTACAATAAGTTCTAACTACTTCTATGAAATTGCTTTAGACCCTTTATCAAAGTTAGAAACAGATTTCCGTTTTTTTTTATAGGAAGAAAAAAGCTATAATGACATGACAGTATTTTATAAAATGGCTAGGAATATTACCTTTTTTTAGAAAATAATGAATTCCAGCTGTTTAACCAAAAACTTGAACACCAAGGAATATTTTTATATAATTAACAAAATGCAATTATATCATAATGTTCTTCAATAATACTTACAGATTGAACAGAACAGATGTCTTGAGAACTAGATCTGTGCCAATCTGCAAAGTTGGTACGTTCGATTTTAGACTTTAAATAATCAAGTTTTTAAATTTTGAAAATGATATCTATGTTTAGATCGTATCAGAAACTGGCACAAATATCAATATACTATAGTTTTAAATGATACTTACATTTTGCTGGTATCGAATATGCCAAAGAAAAGTGCGTTCATCACTGGAGAAGTGCACGAATCCTTGTTTACAGCCCTGTTATGAAGATTTCCACCCAACAATAAATCAAAAAATGAAAAAAAGAAACATTATAAAACGTTGTGTTTTAACAATAACTCATATTTATTAGACACCCTGCCAAGGCATCATTTACTCTTGGGTAAAAATATACTTGAAATGCATTCAAAATATGATAAACTCTCAGTAGAATAATACAATGTATGATGCAGAAGGAACTAGGGGAAAAATCTGCAAAAGTGAATGCTGATATTTAATTCATTATTACAGTTTCTCTTACATGAAAGTCAGTACCCAAAACTTTAATTTAATAAAAAATTGAATATTTAATGTAAAAGTAGCGATCATCTACAAAAACTGATAAAATAGTTTCAGTTAGTACATATATTTTTTGGAATTACTAAAAATTTAATAGAACTTTTGTATTGGCATTGGCTCTTTACAAATATGAGTTAATTTCATTTATAATTAAATCAAAGAACAATGGCAGAAACATATTATTTCGGTTCGAGTGCGAAATAGCCAAAAAAAAGGGTGAAACTTATTGTGGGATTGTAGGATGTGTACCTAGGATAACACTTAAATATGTAAATAATAAATTGTATTACAAGCAGAATAGTTTGTTAACCATTATCTGTAACGGTCTTCACAACGCTTGTTACCCGGAACAGCTTTCGCAATCATATAATCATATTACGTAATTTCGACGAATTAAATGTATTTTTAGATGATGTACGTCCGAATGCTGTAATCATGTGCGCTTGGAGAATTAAATACACAGTTTCGTAAAAGTACGCTAAGCAAACCAAAAAAAGCAAAGACCAAGAAGATTCGCATTAACGATTTTTTGTTGTAACAAGAGACAGCATTGGAATACATAAATAACATTTAACATTAAAGTATAAATAACATATAACAATTATAGATGTATATATAAATGCATAAAATAAATCGTATTTGTTACTGAGAGTATTTTTTGGCAATTGACATCTTATTTCTTCTAAGTGAAGTATTGATTTATGAGGAATTTAGTTAATTATTTTCTGCGATCTTTGCTCATCAGTGCTCGAACTCTTTTCAAGTTTGTGATTGTGATGTCATCGTTTGGTTGAAGTTGTAGCGCTCTTCTGTAGGAAGCCGCTGCAGTAGCATACTTCCCGTTTAAGTGAAGAATAGCACCAAAATTAGAATGGTACTCGGCATCCTGAAATCAAAATATTATTTAAGTCCAAAATTCTTTAAGAATTTTATTCTGAAAATCAAAAATTTATGATTTATACTAATTGTTTCGGACCCATTTTTTTTAATAACACGTATTTTTTCATCTAAAATAGATATTGTTTAGATTATTTAACTTAAGACTCTATGAATACAATATTTACAAAACGATAACAATATACACAACATTTATTTACAATATTCCTTAGAAGTTGATTAAGGTGAAATGTTTTTCACAATAGAGTGTAGGATAGCAGTGTCAGTAACCCGAGCCCTATTTTTCATTAAGCCCTTAGGATTGCGTGTGCCATTTGCTTTCAATTTTTCTATGTTGTAATTGGGGACGTGGTTGCCAAGTAGTACTATTATACATGGGTGAATAGTACTAGTAAAAAATAAGTTTAAAACTAGTCCGTTACAGCTTTTTTATGGTACTGATAAATGGAAAATAACAAGTGGTTAGCGGATGAATACATATTTTTGAATAATCATGTCTCAAACTAAGCAGAGCTTGTTCTATGAAAGCCAGATTGACTGATAGAATACTTGTACTTTTGTAAATACAAATTATACATAGAAAACACCCCAACTTCACACATACACACACACACAGCAGTCGCATACGCTAAAACTGCACCACCGAGGCGGTTATTAAAATAAAATAATTAAAATTTGCAAAACTGCAAAAAGATATCTAAAAGCTGAACAAATTCTTAGTTCTATTTTTGTCTGCTAGAGCTCTCGATCGGAGTGACCCGTGTTAAGCATTTCTTTCGTTTCTTTTCAACGAGTAAGAGAAATTACCATAGTCCTTCTCTTCCTATTTCTGAGTACTTTTAAGCACATAAATGGTAGATGAGGTTGATGAGATTCACGTTTGTTCTGTTAACAACGACCGCACTAGGAATATATTCTGTGTCGCGGGTACTTTACAAACATACATAAAACGGACACAAAGAACACTCAGACTTAGAACGACAATTTGTGGATCACACAAAGTGGTGAGTATGGTGGATGAGGGAGAGCTTCCAACCCCAGCTCTTGCAGCTTGGAGACTGTCTGTTGCGCAGTATGGGGTCGCGCGTTGTCGTGAAGGAGCAGTGGGGACGACCGATTGACCAACGCTGGTTGCAGATGTGACCACCAGATCTTGCACCTACCGACTATTACTTTTTCCAAAATTTAGACAACTGTTTAGTGGGTAAAAAATTCAATTCCCGAGAGGCAGTACAAAATGCTTTTGAAGAGTTTGTTGCCTCCCGTCCAGCTAATTTTTACAAGAAGGGCATCAATAACTATATGCGAATAACTGCCAATGCGTTGGCAAAGTTGCGTCGATTGCATGGGTGATTACTTCGAATAACAGAAATAAAAAAGTTTGAAAGAATAAGTACTTTCACTTATTGCATACAAAACGGCAATTTCATAGGTAAAGACCTATTATCAAGTATTCACGAGCGACGGTATTCAGTTACTAATAGGAGACCCAACTAACTAAAGACTGAGGGGACAGACAGAGAGTAAAAACTGTTTTATAAAGGCTAATACTCCAAAACAGCTGTATTTGATATGATGATTTCTACATTGTTTATTTTTTTCCATTTCAGTACACAGCGACATCAATTATATATTAATTTATAAATATAGCTCCTCTCTATAAAAAAAAATGACAAAGCACTAAAGTGTGTTGCCATGATTGTACCCTTCAAATCACATCACATCAATAGTCTTTAATAGTCAACTGCTGGACATAGACCTCACCTTAGAAACTAGGTTTTGGCCTACTATACAACGCTAGACAGACGGGTTGGTACAGGGTTTATGTCAAGTTCGAGCGGGATGAATAGGGGTGGTGACACTCCGTATTTTTAATCCGTCACGACACAGATTCAAATTGTACCCTTACGTGACACTAATTGTCGTGTGGCGATTTTGTAACAGGTTTATATCTACTACTACCTTATTTCTTACCCTAAATATAGCTGCCTCCCCACCAGTAACAGCAGTATCTCCTAGATGTCGTACGATGTGGGTGCTTAGACTGAGTATGGATACAGCCTGGTCTATAGGAGACCCAATACGAACACATTGTCATGTTGACTGTGCATAATTAAATTAAATTACAGTCGTTAAAATAATCGAAGGAGTTTACTCTACAAGACTTATATTATTTTATTTTACTACCATTACATCATCAATGTATTGTACGAGGAATTACGATCATTCATAACTAATGCAGTATTTAATTTGATAGTAAACAATTTGAGTTTATCTTTGTTCAATGATAGTCATAAAAATAAATTTTCAATCTCATGTACACCAAATTACTGCAATCGAAATAAAAAAAAAAACAGTAAAATAATATGTACTCGTAGATACTCGTAAACTAACTCGTTATGTGCGAAAAATTATCGTCTAACGTTATGAATCTTATTGTATTACAAAAATAGATTTGCAGAGCCAATGTAATTTGTACAGTATATAGGAGTATTTTATCAGCGATATAAATATATTTACTAGGTAAGCAGCGTTTCGGAGAAATTTAATATTTTTTTGCTTGTAAATAATATTACATTTTAAAGATTAGTATATGTTACTATTAATACTAAAAATAACCTAGGCGATGTTATAGATTTTGACAAACCTTTTTTAGCAGATAGGATTTAGGATTTTCTTACACATACCCTAACGTCATTGATATTATGAATTTAATAATCTTCTAACAAAAAAAAGGATGAGCCCGAGATATATTTTTTAGTTTTTAGATATTTATTAAAGAGGGCCAACCACACGTTTTAGAAAAATAAATAACCTACAAGAACTTTTGTGTTTCTTTTTTTTTGGAAAAGGGAGCAAACGTGCAGATGAGTCACCTAAAGGAAAGCAACTACCGCTGCCCATTAACGAACTTTAACAGGACTAAAGCTACTTACGCAAATAAAGAGTAAGTCGTTTTATCGGTATATTGAAAATTATTGCAAAACATTTATTGGAATGGGCAGCTTCACCGCTGATTTAATCTCACAAATTCCCATTTCTGCAATTCGTTTATGTGAAATGTATGGCTTCGATTTTAAGAAGGCGAAAACATTGAATATACACACAATTCTCAAAAAAACCTAAAATCTACAATTTTGGAATGTTCGCTTGTTCATTCAATATTTTTTTGTGATGTAGTTAGTAGAGAAAACTTAGAACTTTTAGGTACTATGTAAGTTGGGGTATCCCAACCAATTATTATTTTTTTTTTTTAACACATATGCTCTAACGTTGTTTAATCATATTAGAACAATTTGTAAATAAAGTTTCAATCACTTACAACCACGGCACCCCGGGGCCGACTTGCATCTATGATATGATTCGGTTTTGTTAGTTTGGTTGTTTTCCTTCAGTCTAAATATTAGAGTTGTCCAACAGTTCTAGTCAAAGAAATATATTTATTTAAAACTTTTAAATGCCGGTTCAAACTTCCCTCTAATATATAATCTCTGGCAGTACAGACATATTGTAAAAACTGATCAAATACTTATTTTATTTTGTTAAATAATTTAGTTGTCATACCAATGTTTATTGAAGTGGATACCTGAATTAGTTACAAATCAGTCATCTAGTACATAGACGTTATATTTACGTTTAACTATAACAAATCTCTATTAACAAGTAGTATTTTAATGCGTCTGACTTCAGACTTAGTTGGAGACGCAATGGTCGTAATTGAAACTTCAAATAAAATAGCAAGCGGATGAGCCTTGATCTGGCAATAGTCCTTAGTAGGTAGTTTAAACAAGCCGCAACTGCTCACTATTCTATTGGACCCTATCCCTTTGTTCAGCGATACGTTTAAATTTAGTCAATAGTGGATATACCAGAGATTGATGCTATGAGGAGCGGTTTACATGGGCAATTAAACATGAGTGAAAGATTTATACGTGTTGTCATAATATAAAAAATATTTATTTTATACACACGTACTTATACCTTATTACATACTTATGTGTGCATTCACGTATGTGTTTATTAAAAACATAAGTTAAAATGTGTTCTTATATATAAGTACGTACAAGCTTTTATTTTTAGGTGGTTCATAATTACCCTAAATACATATTTAACTTTGCTGTATGCTTTTAGCTGTAGCATGTGTGTAAATAAAGGACTTGTCCTTGTTACAAGTCTCAGGTGATTTGACGTCCTAAATAAACAAAGTTTGTTCTACTTTGAACCTTGAAATGGACATCCATTTTAATAAGTACTGTTAAAATAAAGCCAATTTATATACCTGCGACGCACTCGGTTGGAAAAGTAACCTTGATAATTATGAACTCTTATTATGTCCATCAGAATGTTTTATTTGACAATATTTGACAAACCAGCGAAAAGGTTAAAGGTGCCTACTTATTGTAGATAAATTAAATTATCATCATTAGTTAAGGACATTACAGCAAATAGATATCACAATATTATCATGGTATACGTAGCTCAGAGATGGTAACAACAATCATCAACGGCTTTTAATAGCTACTGCTGGACATTTGCCTCTCTTTAGTAATACTGGGTGGTATCGGGCTATGACTTTAAAGAATACTAACAACAAGGGCCCCGCTAATTGCAGTATAAACGATAAAATCGACGCATCCTAATAGTACTGATCTATAATCTGTAATATGGAGATTATAAATATACACACTAATTATTCCGTCATGGCTTTCCTTTACTTACATCTGGATTCAACTGTACTGCACGAGCATACCACCGTTCTGCAGAACGACAGCGTCGTGCGTCCCTGAGCGCCCGGGCCGCCGAAGCGGCGCGGACGCCGTCTTTGGGTGAAAGCTGGGCTGCGGTAACTAGTTGTTCTGCTGCTTCCCGAAGCCTGCGTTGAGATCTTAGGAACATACCTATGCCAAAATATGTTACAGTTATGATTTTCTTAATCACACAACTAAACAATGGTTCATATGTTAAAAGCATAATAAGTGTCTGTTCCACAATTTGTATTGTACCGAACATATTATTTTCGTGCGCCAGAAAACCTTTACCAAGTTGTTTTGTAGCTTTCGCGACTTTAATGCATATTAAACGTGTAACTAATGACATTATTGTGATGACATTTATAAGTTACAATAGCTTTTTGGTTATCTGATGGTTTGATCGAGTCTCACCAATCGTGATCACGGGTAGACTGAATGAGGTGAGAGTTTGATGAAATCCACACTTGGCCTTACTTTCTTTTTTTTTGAAAATTATTCTTACCAAATATAAAACCTCTAAATCATAGCAAATAATTGCTTTCTAGGTGCATACTCATACATACTTGTACATGTAAATTAATTTGTGTGTGTTTATTTTAATACATATTTATTTTTGGTCATAATCAATTACCATACTATTGAAGAAGCAGCAAGTTTGACAGGAGTGTTCTAGGATAAAAACAAATTAAGGAAACATATGAAACAAGCAAAAGAGTGATTATGTCACATACTAAATATGCAGTAATAAAAAAAAACAATCCCATCCATTACTTTCCTTTCCTTCCTATTTTCCAAAATAATATATTCCTGGTTGCCCGTTTTCAGAATCTTTATTCATAAAATGCATATTAAAAATAACGTGAGTGTGGACAAATTACTGAAGATTTATAATAAAATGCAAAAAAAAAAAACAGTACTAACGATTCGCAACTTGCATTTAGGCACGAACGTGTGGAACACAAACAAATGCTAAGTTTCTAAATACAATAGACTTTGTACGAACAACAATAGAATGGGTATGCGTTTACATATAGATACGAACATGCACAATCTGTTGTATGAATTTAATTTACTATTCCGTGTTACTAGCGGTTGAATGTGAAACAATATTCACGGCAAAATCGAACTAACAAACAAAATTGTTAGTTGCACCAATAACAAGTCCTATAAATATTGGTACTAGTATATTTTTTACAGTTATTATTAAGTACAAGTTGACTACCTATACTTAATAAATTTAAAAAGAGGTAGTCAGTTGAAAAGATCGAAGTGTCAAAGACAAGCGTATTACTTAAAAGTGTGCCTCAAGAACGTAATTGGAAAGGATTTCAACTCATAGAGTACCGATTTGTCTCTTTCAATATACTGCTCTGTAACAGGTAAAGCGAATCAAGTAATAAAGATAAGGTACAAAATACTAAGAGGAGAGATAGAAGGAGAATTATGAAGTTAAAATACTATTTTACCGTCGATATACTAAAAATTATGAAAAAAATACATCATACATTTAACAAGGAACATCTAGTGTCCTATTTACTTAAAAAGGTTAAGATATTTTATTCATAAATATACCTAACAAAATTTACTGCTACATTTTACAAGCATGTCCAAGACTGAGATATCTTTTTGCCTTTTATTCTTTTTATAGGAACAAAACAGTCACAGTCTTCTCGGATTAGTGTACAAAAACATCGAATGAGATTAAAAAATACAAGACAGTATAATATTAACATATAATTATCTTCTGCGGTTTTTCCAGACCGAATCGACCTTTAAACTTTCAAGAAAAAAGCCTATTCCTTCCTCAAAGGCCGGCAACACGCTTATGACTCCTGAGTTGCAGGCGTTCATGGGCAGCGGTAATCACTTTCCATCAGGTGACCCGTCTGCTCGTTTGCAGCTTCCATAAAAAAAAGGAAAAATTATTTTAGAGTACACCAACTTCCCAGCAACGGACAGTTTTAGTTAAATATCCCATTCCTTCTATTGTATTCCTTTCTTATCTAATTTTCCATTTCAATATACTTTTAATTTTATTCCAAAACTGTCTAGTCCTAGTGTAGGCTTTTATTAAGATTAGAAGAAGGTAATTCAGGCTAAGTTTGATAAATGTGAACGTGGCTCGAGTGTATGTCGGGATCATAGAATTCTATCGTTTCTGACTATCCCGTACGGGATTCGATGGGTAATTCCAGCTTAATGAACCAAATTAAAAACATTCATATAATTTTTAAAACATCTTACCAAACTGATCTCTAATTGATGGATCATTAGGTGCTATAGTCAGTGCTTTTTTGAACCACATTTCTGCCTCCATACTTCTACTAGCCTGTAACAAAATTCAAAATTAATAACATTTTAGCACATATTGATGCTAAACTTTATATGGCAAAATAAAACGTTTCTAGACTACATACGAATCCTGAAATCCAAACCCGAGAATTTGCATTCAGAGCCAAATGTACTATGAAATCTATGGTTTAACCGATCATTTATTCTACGTACTGCTTAACGTTGTTATATTTACTTTTATGAAAAACAAGGAGACTGAGTTCAAAAAGGGAAATGCACATTATTAAATATGTTTAATTCATCGGTAAAACAAATATCCTAGCGTAATAGATTGCTCAGCTCACCATCGACAGGTATTAGCTACCAGTAACTAATTTCTATCCTTGATCTAGCTACCCCGCACCTGGTACTGGTATCTGGAACCGTGATAGAAGGACATTTTTGATAGAAAAAAGCTATTCGTTTGTTTATAGAAAGGTCTAGAAACTAATAAATTGATTTGAAAAAATAGCCGATAACGTAAAAAAAATATAATAGAGGGAGAGAAAAATATTTATTTTTAAAAACCTTCTAGGTTTTAACATAGGTTAGAATGAGTTACGTCCATGTGTTTTGTCTTGTTTTTTTTTAACTTCTTTTTATTCCACACTATAAAAGATAAGATAAAAGGCAAGGTTTTTTCAAGTGCCGAAGAAGCGGGGGCTGCCTGCCAATCATCCATTTTTGAATAAGACTCGAAAAAGTGTTTCTGAGACTGATTTAGGCGGATTAAAATTTGTTTGTATTCTGTTGTTTTACCAAACTAGGGTTAGCATTAAGTCTACTACGATACAGCTGACCTTCGATTTTTTACGCGGAGCGTGTCGTGCCGTCATGTTTAAGCGTTATATTCAACAAAAATACTATAAAATAGGTATTTTACTAAACAAATATAAACAAAACACATTAAAATAAATAAAATTAAGAAATGTGATATCCAAACGTATATAGTAAATGAATATTGTACCACAAACGACGACGACAGACGAAGAATGGTCTGTTCCGTAAAGTCTATCCGATGGAATATATCCATCGGATAGACTTTACGGAACAGACCATCTAAAGGTTGCCTATAAAAGATCGCAGACTGCGACAAGGCCTCCCATTCTACTACTGTTTTTTTTTCTGTATTTTATATTGTATGTTAACTTATCATGGTGTACAATAGAGAATACATACTTATCTATCTTAATAACTAATATAAACTATGCATTATCTTGTATTTGAAGAAAGTAATGTGTGTTAGTGTGTTTAACACAAGTACAGTAATCGAGATTTAACAATACTAAAATATCACCCCCGAGAGAATATATTATAATGCTTTATTCGATGATACCGCGGGAAATAGATAGTATCACAATGGATATATTTTCTCTAAATTAGCTGTACAATGTTATGTAAACATTTACATACAACTATTATTGCTGTTCACCGTCGATATAAAAAATCAACCATTTGTTTTCCTCTGGCATGTTGAACGTAAGCAACTTAGTGCAAGTTCTTTATTGCTATATTAAATATTTATGGACTCGCTAAGAGTAGACAGGTTAGCTCTATCGTTCACTCTAGTGTTTTTATAAGGCAAGCTTTCGCTGCAAATCATATTACTGTGTAATAATTTGCTCATTTAATTTACTATATACCACCGAAAGTTTAACACAGTCATAGTGAATCATTAACTAATCATCTCTTTTATTGTTTTTCTTTATTATTTGTATTTTATTACAGTATTATGAATATCTATACAAATTAATAAAACTGAAGTGTTTGTTTGTAATGTCAAAATAATGGGATTTTCTCATGCTGACACGGTTATTTGCACGACACCTATGTCTAAAAACCACTTTAAATATTATTTGTCTATCTGTCTGTCTGTTTGTTCCGGGTAATCTTCAAAACAGCTGGACCAATTTTGAAAATATTTTACTACCAGGTAGCTGTTTATAGAAGCAGTAACTTAGGTAATTTTTCCTCTCAGAAAAACCCTATAAAAATTTCCCGGTCCGGTAATCGAACTCGAGGCGTCATGGACTGCAGTCGCATACCTTACTTCCACTAAGGCAACGATTTTTAAATTCCACTCGAACAAAGTCGGGGGTTCCAGCTAGTTACAGAATATTTAAGACTTGATGATACCAAAACTTTCAGAGATGGAATAACTTTAATAACTTTAATAAGAGTGATTATTATTTAGTAAAGGCAACAGGCAAGGCTTGCGAGCATGGCTGACGTGGTCTGCTACGAACCTTTGTCCTACAATTTTAACTAAAATCTAAAATGCCTCACTGGCAAAGGACAAAAATTTGTTGAAGACGGCGCATATCTGTTAGAAGTTAATCATGTATTTTTGTTTTCTTTCGAGTGGAAGAGCAACTAGTAACTAACAAATTTTGCCGATAGTATGCAGAAATAGACGGATTAGTCATTTCACATTTAAAATGATTTAAACAAATCGCCTGCTTTATAAGAGTGCGACAGAAAAGCTCAATATAAGTGACGTTTTCATATCCTCCGCTGAGCATTTTTCGGAGACAGATTCGTGAAAATACGCGGATAGGAGCTAAAGGTACAGATAGTGGCTAAAAAGTACAAAAAGTGACTACCGTCACAATCAAAATTTACTGTGTCAAAATTTGTTTAATGATAATAAATAAATTTACCAAGTCAAAACTCTATGAACTCACATTTCTAGCAAGTATTTGTGCTAGTGTAACGTGCGTCCCTGCATGGTGTGGAGATGATGCCAATGCTGATATTAAACTGTTCTCAGCTAAGGGCCACTGTTGCAGCTGAACATAGACTTCTCCCACCATCGACAGGACGCTCTGTAAAAAAAAGAAAAATGTAGACACTGTTGTTCAATAAGATTACCCACGGTTAAAGATTGGATCTATGCGACTTTGATCTGCTTGAGCTATTGCTCATCATCATCATTGAGAGCCTTTATTAATCCAGCGATGGGCATAGGCCTCTCCTTAGAATGGAGGTTTTGGCCTAATATACCATGCTAGCCAGACGGGTTATATTTCAGACAGACGGGGTATAGGATTTGTTTCAAGTTTTCCTTCTGTGCAGTGGTGTTGTCCTGCGTAGTTTGCTCAATTATTGAGCTCGTACGACACCCATGGAATGAATAGTCGTGGTGACACTCCGTATTCTTAATCAGCCACCACACGAGCTGTTGCTCGCATATCCATATCTATCTGTGTAACACACATTTCTCATAATTACATTCCTGTCTAATTGTCATATTGAACTCCCAATTTCCCCATCTTATTACTGAAACAATTGATTGAAGGCAATAGGCTTGCCCGCTATTACGTGAGTTTATATTAAATTGTGGTTGGCTAGATGTGGGCGTTTAGAAAGCCTCTGCTTACATTTCCAGGAATATAAGCCTGAGTGTTTATATAATAAAAAAGCCGTGTGGTGTCGTGGGACACCCGATAGGACGAAGTTGTGACGATCGAGTAAAACTGATTTGACACGATTTTAATTACAACGCCATCTATGAAAGCGGCTATTACCTACATATTAAAAACAATTAAAACAATTTATACATTGGTAAAATCTCCTTGCGAAATGATTTCCTATCTATTCGATAGATGGCGCTAAATGTCTGACAAGATGACACGAAAATAAAGAGCAAAAAGCCAACATCACGTGGTATTCCCAGGCGGTCACCCATCCAAGTACTAACCACGCCCGATGTTGCTTAACTTCGGTGATCGGACGAGAACCGGTGTATTCAACATGGTATGGACGTTGGCGAACGTTAAAGCAAATTTAATGTATGGTATCCAAAGTTAGACGTCAATTTATATTAAAAAGTGTCGTGACAAATTTTCGTAAGGATTTTTTCCGTCTAGCCCCCTTTCACAACGCGCGATAAGGAACTTCGTTCCAATATCCGCTTTAAATGAGATAATTTCATAAAGTTTGGAGTGAGTACTATAGATAGTTTTTTTTCTATTATTTAGTACTTTATTTTACCAAAACAAAAATGTACGTATCCTTTAAAAAAAATTGACAGTAAAATGACGTTGTTCCTTGTTTCAGAGTATTCAATCCAAAAATTTTGGATTGGAGCCAGTACCAGCAGTGTGAGAGTAGCTGTCGGTTATGGTTGTTAAAATTTGACGTGCCTTAATTTTAGAAGATTCTCTTACATGTCGCGTCCAGCCAACGATGGGTGTGTTTGTGTCAGGCAGAATTTGTAGCGCTTCTTTGTATGCTGAAAGGGCTTTATGCCAATGCCCCCGTTGTGAATGTAGTGCTGCAAGCTGTACGAGGGCTGACACTCTTGCAGCGTCATGTTCCCTCCGATCACGAACCCGGACACCTTCGGCTCGAGAACCGGCCCGGAGTGCACTCGCGGCTTCAGCCAGACGTCCGTCAGCCATCAAAGATGTTCCGAGATTAACGAACGCCACTAAAAATATTTGTTAAATTAAATTCACACAGAGATGTAATTTAAAATAATATCCTTACCAAGCTCAGTATACCAAAATGACTTTATATTTAAATATTTAATAGAGATAGCTGACTACGAGTACGATCAAAACTGAATATTAAACTAAACTTTCTCCACCTATGACAGAATAAAATACACCCACACTATTAATATCGTTTTACCTATAAGTTTAAAAATAATAATATAGAAGTTGACAACAGGAAACAACCAACTTTATTCCAATCTACTAAAGTCGTTTAAAACATTTAAAATAATGTATTTTAAACTGGCTGGCATTTACAATTATAAGTTTCATTGTTCAATTGTTTTTTAAAGAAATTTTTGTGTGATATTGAACAATGAACCCTTGATATTTAAAACAATAACTAAAATTAGAAGAAAATGAGGAGAGGGCCGACTCTCCACAAAATAATTTGATTGGACAATCAAATTATTAATAAGAGCTATGAAGAAATACTATGGAGGCTTTGTTTTTAATAATTAATTTATCTCAAGTACTCACGAGCCATTGAAGGTCTAAAGTAAATTGCTCTCTCGAAACTTTTGATAGCATCGCTGTACCGTCTTTGGTTTTGTAGCAATATTCCCCTGTAACAAAGGTATAGAATATACATTTATCATAAAATAATAAATTCAAATTAGTTTTCAGATTTAAATATTATGGTTCAATAGAAGACTATTTAAGTGAAAAGGTAGAATAATTTTTTTGTTGCAAATTGCTTTGATGGTGTTGTAACTCAGATGATGATGCTCAAATAACCTTGTCACGAGTCATTTTATTTCCAACTTAATAATGAGCTATATTTTTTGCATAAAGTATAATCCTTCCTTCCTTCATTTTTCCTCATCAGATATTACATGCTTAAGTAAATGATACATAATTATGGATACACCCAAATATCGTAATGGATGATGATCTAAGTCACACAAGATAGTGGCAAATAATAAGCCGACTAGTTTAATCATTAAGCTATTCCTGTAATCAAATAAAATAGGAAACCTAGTAACTGTACCCTTGAAAGAGACATCTGACTGAGAACGAATTTTAATTAACTAAAATGGTGAACAACGATTAAAGGCTGGGTAATAATCTATTAAAATTTGTAACATATAGAAAATGAAAAACTGTTTTTGCTATACAAATAAAAACACAATAGCTAGTCTTCAATATGCCTTTTGTAAAATATTAGAGCTTTATTGTAGCTATTTTTCAAATAATTTTCAGAGTGGTGACATAAATGTTGCCAATAACAGCCTCGGATGACTATCTACAGTGAGTGAGCTTATAAAGAACACTGACTATTTGTCGTATATCCGTTCTATTCATACTATTCATCTTTCACAGCCACGTTCGGAGTCACCTTTTGTGACATATTCATATGACGTATGAAATATTGAGTCAGCCGACGAGCTGCAAACTTGCAAAAGCATTCATATTCCCCCGATAATATTGAGTTTCGTAGTTCCACATTTGGTGCTAATTAGTGATGAGAATTTGCTGCTCCTGAATTCATAGCTCATCAAACGTTGTTCAAACTGCTGCTAAAATTCGTGCACACTCCTAAGGGAGATTAGTATTATGAAAATAAAACGAAAAGCACAACTTGCTATATTAGTTTTACAATTATGCAAGTTAAAATATTATGATTATAAAAATATTCATACATTTTCGACCAGCTGCAGAAAAGACAATAACTCCATAGGGGTAGTATTTTAAAAGTTGAAAAGAAGTGTTTCTGTTTTCATTTATTTATGATGATTTTATTTACCATATTTTAGTTTTGTCGTTTATATGAGTAAGACTTGAAAACTATATTAGCTTAATAGAACTTGCTCCATTTAATTAAAACCTTAACTAATTCTGCAATATTAATGAGTAAAAAGCTTTGAAGCATAGAGCCGTACAAACATAATTAGTGCTTTTGAAGATATTTCTTGAATCGTTAATTTTAATAGTAAAAGGCCTAGGTCTCGTATGTTCGATCGTTTCCCTATTTATTATCGTATTTTTCCCTATAATTCTTTAACTTCTCTAGGTAAAATGCTATGGTTATTTTGTAGAGTGCAATTAAATTAATGTACACGTACGAACACGTCCTATACAGAACATGCTCACAACAATACTATAAAAACATAATAAATAACTCTGCTATTCTTCAAAATATTGGAATACGAATAGTTTTTAATCAAACAAAGGATGATATTATTACATGAACACAATGCAAAATGTCAACGTTAATGAAACATCATCTGATATAACTGTACAGTGTTATAGACAGATGCGGCAGTGCAATATTGTCCGCATGAATAATGCAGGGCCACAACGAGGCTGCTTCTACGTGGGACCAACATACACTAATGAGAACCATCCAGACCGGTCGGGCTATTATACCTTCTCTTCGCGAGCAATAATTTGTTACTAATTCCCTTCTAATTATTGTAACGTTGAAATTGCTTTTGTGCGGTTGGTACAGCCTTGGTAAAGCTTGGCGCTGTGTTGACATTCAAAGCTCTCCCAAACAGTTTTGGGGCGGTAATTTATGCATTAGAAGTTGAAGTTTGTACGTATTAAATATGTGGGAGCGAGTGATGTGATAATCGAGAAACATATTTTTGACTTGAAGTTTGTTAGAGCTGCTTAATAGGCTTACATTGAATTAAGAGTTATTAGGTCCTTACATATGAAATTAGCATTTTGTCGTACTGACCACTTTGATCTGAAATATCTCCTCTTTGGTTAAGAATTCCAAATTCAAATTTATTAATTCATTTAGCTGGTACATTTGAGTCCAAACCGCCTTCAAAGAGTTTATCGATTCTCGCCCCCGTGGTTTTTTTAGTAAAGGGATCAATGAACTACCTATGAGATGGCAAAAGTGCATAGATAACAACTACAAAGTAAAAATAAAAGTATGCCTACTTTGATTAATTAAATATATTTTACAAAAAAAAATGACTTTATATTCCACCCGTACAAAACGCCAATTTTATATGTAAGGACCTAATATTAGTGTAACAAAGATTATAATTAGTGTAGTAACAAAATAAAATTAAATACCTATAGAAAATAAAGAAATGTAGGATTAAACGATAACGTTAGTCATGGCTTCAGATGCGCGCTTGGTTTAATATTTCTAACCCGTAGAAAAGTTTACTTAAAACTTTAACTAATCTATCTATCTATAAATATAAAATACTAAATTGGTTTGTGTCCGCTTCAAAAACTCAAAAGTTCTATACTGATGGGGCTCAAATTTTGACAACCGTAATATTCCACAGCGAATTGTGGCAATGTACAGCTAGTAAATAATATACTCGTAAGTTTTCTGTACACCAAGTTTGGCAACAAATATATGGGTAGCTTGATCGCGAGCAGGTGTTGTGGTAAGTGTCGGTAATCTAACAAAGCAATAAATTATGAGCTCTGAGCCTATAAGTAGGGTGGGTGTCCGAATGTCATTATTAAAATGCTTTATAATAAACCTTTCATAGTAGCTAGGGTAGTTTGTCTGTTGAATGAGTGTTTGTGAAAATTAAGTTGCAATGATTTTATTATTTTCTACTTCATTAGGTAGACAAAAATGTAAAAGTTTTAAGAATCATTTAAATGGCTTCTGTAAGTATATTCACTGAATCAGTGTGCTCAGCAAAACACGAAAATATATATATTTATTTAAATATTATTTTGATTTGTGCGTGCTTCAAAAACTCAGTTCTGTACCGATTGAGCTCAAATTTCAAAAAGACAAACAACCCCTTTTAAACGTTGTTTTCATCTATATTTCGCGTCACTTTTATTCCTCATTTTTCATGAACGCGACTACAATTCAGTGAACTGTGGCAGGGTACATCTAGTCTATACAAATAAATAAAATATAAAATTGAAGTGTCTGTTTGTAATATCAAAATAATAGGATTTTTTATTGCTTACACGGTTATTTGCCCGATACCTATGCCTAAAAACCAGGTTAAATATTATTTGTCTATCTGTTCGTTCCGGGTAATCTTCAAAACGGCTGGACCGATTTTGATAATGTTTTCCTACAAGGCACCTGTCTATAGAAGGAGTAACTTATGCTATTTTTTCTTTTTATTCAGAAAAACCCCATAAAATTTTACCCGGTCCGGGAATCGAACCCACTAAGGCAGCACTTTTCAAATTCCACGCGCACAAAGTCGCGAGCACAAGCTAGTTACAAATAAAATTACAACATATATTGTTAGCGATAATTTGCTTTTCTGTGTTAACTTTGCTTATGAGTGCAGACTATGATGGAATAGAGGATAGGTAAAGGAACATAGTGATGGGACACAGATCGTAGGTTTTCACTTTGTTACTGTTTACCTATGTATGTACATATTTCTTTATGGAATAAGGAGGCAGACAAGTCAACGGGTATTTTGATGGCACTACCGCCGTCAATGGACACCTGCAACTTAAATATAAACCCTACAAAACATGCATTATGTGGAACGGTTTATTATTATTTCTATAGCAAAAATATTCGCGAATAGATAAACTTATTATTAAATGCTTCCAAAATGAGGTAACATTGATTTATTTTATTTGTACCAGCAAATTTAATATTAATAATTTTTAAAAAGAACAGTAATGGCTCTTTTATTTAATTAATATCAAAGTAAAACAATTTAAGTATGAAAAAGAAAAACTTAACACATTTGAGTCGCGTGTTTTTTCCATTAACATTCACTAACTTGTTTGCGCTAATACTTGAATCACTTTCAAAAATACACGTACGTTGAATCGATGGGCCTGTTAGTCTAGTGGTCAGTGACCCTGACTGCTAAGCCGGAGGTTGTGTGTTCGATTCCCACCCAACCAACCAACCCAAGACAAATAGCTGTGTGATGAGAACGATCATTTGTTGTGTCTAGGTGTAAAGTATGTTTATCAGCAGTCTGGTTACCATACTACAGGCTCTGCCTAGTTTGGGATCAGACGGCCGTGTGTGAGATAATATAGTATAATATAATTAGCTTATGAAATTTGAAAAAGACTATTTAATTAGGTCGACAATTACTGTAAAAAGAAGGACTGATATTCTCTTAAATATTATAGAATGTTATTTGTGCTTCTATGAGAATTTAATTACAAATTAGATATACCCTTCTATTGAAGTACCAATACTTGAGTACTTTACCTTATTTTATATTAAAATTGAAATGTTACAAAGTTTGTTCGTTTTAATGAAAACATTCTAATATAACATACATTTTTTTTAAATTCTTCTGAAGACAAAGCAAAGGGCGATGACTATATGCACAAATATACAGCCATATCGCTAAACAAATGGTAGCAGTTGGCAGCAATATTGTTGTAGATAATGAAAATAAATCTTTTACACAAAAAAAAACACTGGAACACATTTTTGTCTTGTATTTAAATCATAAATTAATTATACTTATTCTACAAATTCGTTGTACATTCAAGGGGTGAAAGATGCAAAGGAAATTTTGGATGAAGATAAAATGCTGGTAGTTTTCAATAGCCAATTGCGCGCTTCATTGATTTATGAGTGGTATACATTACCGAAGAAATTGACAAAATGGAATAAATGCTGTTAAGA